TACTTTTTGATAATTTCAGGTAATAAATCTTATAATATATATTTGAGAAACCATAAATAACAGACCATATTTGAATTGGGGAGCACCAATGACACTTATTTACGATGTTAATCATAACCATTGAATTTAAAACTGAAAAAGTGGCTTCCTATGATAGTTATACAGAAGTCTCTATTCCCCATTCAAAGGGGCACTTTTCTGATGGGTCAAAATTAAAGGAGCACATGCCCCCTCTGTTTCACTACTTAGGTAAGAAACCTATAAACATCTCACTGTTAATATACGAGACAAGCTTATACAAAAGTTATCTCTGTTCATAATGGAGCTTTTGTTTACAGAAGTTTTGTGCTTGTATAAAGTGTATGTCTAAAGGTGTTTTGTTTGGGCAATTCTGTTTCAGCCGGCAAATTTGCACATGCAGACGACCACATTGAACAGTTTTTACAATGTTGCCTTGTTGATTGTTCTCATCAGTGAACAGAAAGGTGAGTTGATGTTCATGTGCACATAATGACCACATCTATGTGTTGTAAAATCAAATGGAGTTTAAAACACATTATTAAACATAAATATTATTTGGTATAATAAATCTATGTACAGTCATTACTGGGCAACATTATCAGAAATATGAAACATTATTATACAACCATTACTGGGCAGTATGAAACACATTATTATACAACCATTACTGGGTAACATGAAACACATTATCATACAACCATTACTGGGTAATATGAAACATTATTATACAACCATTACTGAGTAATATGAAAAACATTATTATACAACCATTACTGGGTAATATGAAACATTATTATACAACCATTACTGGGTAATATGAAACACACTATTTTATAACCATTTAGTTTCTATGTAGTTCATTCTATATTCTTAAGTAAAATGCAGATGGAATGACCTCTTTAACTTCTAACTTATACCAAAAGACAACAAAATTAAACCAAACTTTCTTGTGTGATAGGAATGACAGCTGATATTTATGCAGACATAGCAACGCTACTGGGATCGTGTGGAGGGCTTGAGAGTGCCGATGTTCCAGCAGCTTTGCGGGTACGTATTTTTTATCTACGATATTCTCTCCAAAACGTTTTGGTGTAACTTTACACTTAAAAACAAAAATATTATCAGAAAGGCTTTAGTATTGGTCCCACACTATTAGCTAGTAATCATTGGCAAACATTTTAAAAACGTAATTCAGTTTTATAACTTTTAAGTTCCAGATTCTTGTTGTGGATGATTTAGTTCGATGAGTGGTACTTTCGGTATCTTATGGTACTTCTTTTAAATCTTATTGGGTGGTGACCCTTGTCTAACATTTTTGCTATTAATACAAGAAATATAACAGTGATTTTATTATATGTGTTCTATATCTATGTAATTACAGGATCTTACACACAGTATTATGGCTACCACGAACTGGGAAGTATTTTCTAAAATGACACCACAGGTAAGTCTAGAAAAAAACCTTAAGCTAATAGATTGTTCTGCTCAAAAAATATATACCCTAGTAAATAATATGTACCACTTAATACAATAATATGTACCACTTAATACAATAATATGTACCACTT